GTTAACATTATTTATTAAGGGTAGAATAGTCTTTTAAGTTTTCTTTATTTTTGACTATATATAGTCTCTTTGTATCTAGGTTTTATTCATTCAATTACATTATGCAGAATCAATAAAACACTAACCTCTTTTTCTTCTTCTCTTTGGATTGTTTAACATGGTATCAGAGCTAAGTTTCATGAGATTTGACATAATCTCAAACACGGCTTTCGCGGATCCAACTGAATTGTATGCCTTGTTTACTTCTAAAGAATCTATATGTATGGAAAGGTATTTACACATTTAGAGTGCAGGGACAAGTGTATCATTATGTAAATCAACTTATGCCGAAAAATAATACACCTTCTTATATGCAGTTATACTTTTATGATACATATAATGAGCTTCAAAATCGCATGAAAATTTCAGAGAACTTTATTGAATCTACTTTGATTGTTTTAAAGTAAATTCTAAATGTAAATCCATATAGTAGAGTCTTTAGATCTTTAAGTAATATACCTAACTTGCAACACCATCGGATACAAATAAGATGCGATCCAGGAGTTGATCAAAGAGTTTTTAATACTTTACAGCTTTTCAAGTAGCTGCTGAATGGGTCGAAGATGATGAAAATGCAAATGTTCGTGTTCATGATATTACTCTATATGGTCATTCGGTGAATTGTACAAAGTTCACTATTATTATGGTTGTTATGATTCTTTACAATATTCTTTGATCTTTTTATATGGAGAATTTGGTTGGTATGAAGGTATTGAGAGATATAAAAACACGTGCTTCTCACCTACGCATTTGCCCGACCCTATCACTCTTCCTAGCACAATGAATTCTGCAACTGAACTTCTTAAAAAAGAAGATGCGGCTTAGTAGATGGACTTTGTAGTAAATTTAATAACTGTTTACAATTTTACTGGTTAAAATGAATATGAATACTCAGATTGTGTTATTGTTGTGTGGTGCAGTGCTTAATGGAACAAAGAAACGATTTCAAGTCTCTTGTCGAGAATATTATTCATACAAATTACAAATCAAGTCTCCCGATAAGTTCGTGTTACTTCATACTGGTAGAATTTTTCACATGTTGTAGATATATATGTTAAGATTGAAATTACTAAATTAGACTATTTTCGTAATAACCAGAAAAAAATCTGTGTTGAACTTTATCAAGGCATTGTAGATAGTGTTGAAAATGGAGAGACAATGGAGTACAAAATAGGAAGGAAATTTGTTTTACCACAATCTTTTACATGTGATCCTAGAGATTTGCTAAGGATATATATGGATGTCATGACTATTGTACAACGTTATGGAAAATCAGATGATAAGATAGTTTCCTGTGAAATTTCTGACAAATAGAAATACTCTTATCTTCATTATGTTATTGTTAAACACAATATGCATGGCTCTTGTGAAAACCTAAATCTTAAGAATGTATGTACGGAACCAAATAAAGATTGTAAAAATAAATATCCGAAGGATTATTGTAATAGTACTATATTTGATGATAACTCATACATATTATATAGGCGGTGTAATAATGGTATTTTTGTTAAAGAGGTGAAATGTTAGACACTCGTTAGATTGTACCGTACAATCCTTATTAAGTGCTAAATTTGATTGTCATATTAATGTTGAAGTATATTCTTCTATCAAAGTTGTTAAATATCTCTACAAGTATGTGTACAAAGGTTATGATCGCATTAATTTCTGTGTTAATACCAATGAAACAAATAAAGAAATTGATGAAATTGTAGTTCATCAATTTGCTAGATAGATATCTCCACCTGAGGCTATGTGGAGAATTTTTCTTTCAATTTGTCCGATATGTATCCATCTGTTTACTCTTTACAGTTTCATATTGAGGATCATCAATAAGTAACATAAGCCGATGATGATGATTTATTTATTATTATTCAAAAGGAGAATACAATGAAAACTATGCTAATTGAATTTTTTTGAATGAATGAAACAAATGAATTTGTTCGTACATTATTGTATCGAGATTTTCCAAAATATTTTGTTTGGAATGCAAATAACAAAATTTGGATTCCTAGAAAAAAAACATGTTATAGGATGAATTGTCACATATCACCCATCTGAAGGAGAACGATATTTTCTTCGTATTCTTTTTAATCATATTAGATGACAAGTATCCTTCAATCATTTAAGAACTTTGAACGGTGCAACTGCTCCTACATATCATGATGCAACACTTCTACATAGTTTGTTAAGCGGAGACAATTATTGTGAAGAATGTATATCTGGAGCAATTTTGTATGATATGCCTACTACTTTAAGACGTCTTTTTGCTACACGTCTTACACTTTGCAGTCCCAATCATCGAAAGCTCTTGTGGGATAAGTTTAAGGTTGATATGATTGATGATTATGTACATCAAAATATATCTGTAAAGGTTGCTGAATTACGAGTTTTAGAAGACATTAATTCTATTTTGGAATTATTAGGTAAGAACATAAATGATTATACAATAGTACCATTCAATGTAAATATAGATGAAATTGAAAAGTTGAGAAGAATGATGAAGAGGAAAATACTAATTTTGATACCAAGGACTTGTCTAGTAGAAATTTTCGGCAGATTTAAAGCTAAAAAATGACCTTTTTTCAAACTGGTGGGTCCCACCTGTGAGACTAAAGTCAACAATGGCTGCCTTATTTCCTTCTAACAGTTGAAAAAGCAATTTTTTGGGTTTAAAGAGTGCTCCTAAACAGGCTCTAAAGGGGGGCTTACTTATGCACAACATTAAATAAAGAACAACAATTTGCATATAATACAATCATGGAAAAAATTAAATTAGAATCAAACGGTGCTTTATTCGTTAGTGGTCCAGGTGGAACATGTAAAACTTTTTTATATAAAACACTCTTTAAGTAGTGTAAGGTCACACAATATAATTGTTTTGGCAACAACATCATCTGGAGTATCTGAGTCTCTTTTATCTGGAGGTCGAACAGCTCATTCAAGATTCAAAATTTATTTGGAAACTTTTGGTGAAATAAGTCGTTCTATTCGCAAACAATCAGTTTTAGGAACTTTGTTGAAAATGTCTAGATTAATCATTTGGGATAAATCACCTATGGTCAATCGTTGTGCTGTAGAATTTGTAGATAAAATGCTCATAGATTATTACTGATTATAATTTGCTCTTTGGTGGGAAAGTAGTAGTTCTTGGAGAAAATTTTCGACAAATTCCATCAATTGTGCGAAAAGGGAAAATCAATTTTTTAATAAATTTTGATAAAAATTAATTAAATGTGTGAGTAAAAAGTTGTAGATCCATAAAATATGTTTTTAAATTAATTGTTAACTTAAACATAGATTAAAATCTAAATTTTAATCCCTATCAAATAGGGACTTCATTTTCTTACACACGTTTCTTTTAAGTCCACCCAAACAAGTCGTTAATCCTTTCAAGAAATCTCTTTTAAGGTCTCATTTGGCATGGCGTTTGCTTTTGCATTTTCTTCCAAAAGAAATTTTTTTGAAGGAAGCTACATTATTTTTTGTCCGACGCTAATTTTTAAAAGAGTTTCCTATTTCGAAAATGATGTTGGAGGAATTCACATTAAACCAATTTCCTATAAAAGCTTTTCTAATTAGGAAAAATATTTTTATAAAATTAATCAAACGAGTCTAGAAATAAATTTTGAATCTCGAAAGTTTTCTTTGACTTTTCAAAAATTATGTCAATAATTGATAGTGAATGCTACCCTAGGTGATGAATATTTTGTCTTCCTTTTTGAATTCAACTTCGAATTGAATGACTTATTTAAAGCATCTCGATTTTTCATTTTTTCTATTATTTTGACTATTCTACGCCCTGTTAAATGATCCCAGCAATAAAGGTTTAGAAGAAAACAGAAGTTTGGTACAATTGATTTCTTAAACAATGTAATTAATAATAATTATATTATACTCAGAAAAAATTAAGAAGGGACTCTTCAACCTTTCACGTGACGTAATATGAATTCGAAAATGTTGAAAAACGATGGTCCCTTTATACAGTTTAGGTCACACAAGGACCTATGTTCATAATTTATAAGACCATCTTCAATGAGGAACATTAAATTTGATGTAAAAGTTATATCAAATTTGACGTATTACACAAAATTTTATATCAAATTTTATTTTGAATTATTTAATTACAAATTATATTATTACAAAAATCGTTAAATTAAAAATTATATGTAATGAAATATATAATATTGCATTTATTAATAAAGTGAAGAAAAAAATATTAAACATAAATGTCACAGTTTTGCTACATGTATATAAAATTTGACATCATAGATAATATTGTTTAACGTGACAACACTTTGGACAATTGATTTTAAAAACACTTATTCAAATTACACCAAATTTGGCTCCTCATTAGTGATGCATTAAAAAAAATTAAACTAGCTGTACATTGATTGTGTACAATTAGTTTAATATTTGGGTGTTTGGTAGAGGTTAAAATCGGATTAAAATTGAAAAATCAGTCGTTATTGTTGACTTTTATTAGATGAGTGTGACCCAATAACGACTATATTTTCTATTTTAATTGGATTTTGAGCCGTACCAAACAGGCCCTTGATGATGTATAAAAATCGAGAAAGATGCTTAGTGTACAAAAAATATATATATACAGACGACCTACGGAGTACACACAAAGAGTGGGGCCCATTTTTTTGGACAATATTTAATAGACACCTATTGATTGGTTGCTTACATTTGTAATATTTACAGTCAATCGTTTCTTTACTTAGCGAGAGTAAAATTCGAGAATCAAAAGAGAAATTATTTATTGCCAACAGTTTGCATATATCATACTATAGTACTAATAGATGGGCTAGCAATACAAATCTGATAACCTGAAAAGCTATAACGAAATACACGATTTTATTAGCTTTTTTCGAAATCGATCACATTCTTTGTCCGTTGCTTCCATTTGAAGAAATGAAGGATGCCAATGTTTGGCTACTCTCTTGGGTTCTTTTCACTCAAATGTGTTTGGTAAACCAGTTCAGCATGTCGGAGTGAGACTCTTGAGCGCTCTTAACAGCAAATTCATCATCATCCTTGTATCGAGTTGTCCATCCATGTGCAACACCAGGGAATATCTTCACATAGCTATCAATCTGAAAAGTAATCATAAGCTGATTAACGGCTAATAAACAAGTGTGTTAATGTAAATCCGAGTTATCACCTAATTCTCTACTAGAGAAGACAAGTACTAATACTATGAATACGTCTTTTCAGTATCTCATTCCTTAAACAAACACTAAACGCGACTACAACCTTAACAAATTATGGCACATTGTTATCAATATGGTTTCATTGAACTGATCATATCAAAGTACAAAACTTGCAAACGGTGAAGATTGGCTTGAATTTCTTACGGTTTTTGTTGATAATATTTCTCCCAAGTGTTTTAGGTGCTCGGGAGAAGTATACTGGTCGGTCTCAGCTCCCAATAGAGCAATCGGACATTTCACCTCTGAAATACCGTAGTATCAGTCATCAATCTAAGAAGAAAACCTTTCAGAAAGAAGGTAAAATCTTCAAAATTTACCGTTTATTTCTTCCTCTGTTATTGGACCAGGATGTAACACAACTGCAGCCTTAATGCAATCAAATTTTGCCAATTTCACCACAGTCATCCCTAAAACAAGGGCAAGAAAGTTGAGTACTTTTTCGGTTCGAGGAAAAACTGCACATACTAAAATTTACTTACCTCCCCAACAAAAACCAGCAGCTCCTACTGCAGATACGCCTTTGCTTTTCAAGGCGGAAACTACTGCCTTAGCATCCTCACACCCTTTCTCCTAAAGAACAAAATCCAAGTGATGCACAAATAAATACAAGAACGCTGACCCTTTTTCGTTTATATCATGCTAAAGAGGAAAATGTTGATTGCACACACTGTGCATAGAGAATGAACTCATAAAAGGCGCATGGTGCGTATGAAATATGATTATAGCTATTTTAATGCGAACGTGCAGTGAAATCTGCACAGAATGAAGCAGAACGAACCGTGGGATGAGCATTCATCCATGAGTGTGGCTCAAATCCATGTCTATCAGGATCGTATGGATCACCATAATAGAAATCGGGAACCACTACTAAGAACCCAGAAGCTGCAACTTTGTCTGCAAGCTTCCTAGATAATATGGCGAAAAACATGAGTCGGAAATTTATGTATAAAAAACTTCTGTTAAGGAAATTTAAAGATAGACAGAGGTAGCGAAACAGATTGCAGCCAATTAGACTTGGCCCAGATAATAAGAATGAGGTTCGAGACTATAAATTCGACCGAAAGTGTGAGCATCAGTCTAATAGAACATTAGTTTTTCTTCAAACTCATTATCAACGTGACTACTTTTTAATAACATGTTTTCCACGGTGACTTACTGGGGAACATACTATAGAGTAGAGTGATTATACTAGTACAAAAAATAGGCCAAGCTTCATAACTTATCTAGTCAAAGGAAAACTCTTAAATACCTCAAATTTGGAGCTTCATAGCCTGCACAAAACCCAATCAAATTTAGACTCAGATTAAATCACTACCCTCTTCATCGTATTCAGCTAAATAATTCATCAAAAAAAAAAAAAAAAGAGTTTAAGGTTGTCAGATTATTACCAAAGGCATCAGCAATTAGAAGAATGGCAACCTTGGAATCTTGGGATCCAATTACATATGATTTTAGTCCTCCAATTTCTTGTACACTCCCTGCTCCACATGATGGGCTGAGGGTTGGTGGATTTTCACAGCACTGGGGGCCTAACATTTGCGATTATTCTTTGAAAATAGAAGCAGTTTAATTTGTCTGGTATTTGTAGAGACAAACACGAGGAATTTGAAACTGCCGTCCAGGTGTAGGGGTGCGTTGGGGTATCATTCGTCAGTGCATACGTTAGCTTCTTTTTTTACCTAGGATTAGTCAATTATAATAATAATAAATAAAAAAAATCACGTACATACGTTCAATTTGATCTCCCTGGAAAAGTCCACACCACAAATGTCTCCTATATCCTAATCCTAATCCTAATCCTAATCCCAACTATCCTAAAAGAGCAAGTTTTTCATGGACAGGTGTCAACAAAATAAATCGTCAACATATACGATGTCGTTTGGCGTTTGGATATTGGGTGTTTCATTTCCACACGAGAAACCCTGTGTTCTACTCGGTAAAATTCCCCCTCGTGCCGTGTTTCGAGTTTCGACCGCTTCCGTCTTCCACCACCCACCGCCACCACTTCACTTGTTCAGTCGGTCTGTCGGTCTCCTCCACGGCTTGAGGAGCTACACTCCGTCGCGAGATACTCACTCCTCCACTTTCGTCGTTAACCCTAGCCGTTTTACGTTCGTCGCTTCCATCTTCTACTACTCGCTGCCACCGCTTCGAAATTACGGTCAGTGCTCTGTTTCTTAATTTTCGGCACAGTCGACTTCCAATAACTTCAAGGTAAATCGAAATCCCTAATTCTGCTTTTTATGTATTCTTCTCGATCTGTTTCTTTTCGTTTCGTTTCATTAATTCTTCTCACTTTCTCTCTCACTCTCTATAGAAGAATAAACTTATAAACACATTACACAATAACCCATAAACACTGCAATTTTGTTAACTGTTATTCAATTGATTTTGTTGACTGAATAATTGTGGTCCGTCAATGGCACCACAGAGTATCTGAAACGAATACATTGTTTCTCTGTCTATATTTTCATTCTGCTCAAAGTATTCAGTAGGTGAATTGGTAGAATATATTATATTGGGTTAAAAAAAATTACACCTTCATTGGTTGTACTCTTTTCCCTCTTGGATGAGATATAAATTTTGGCCTTTTATTGATGAATTGAAGTTTTTTTCTTCATATTACAGCTCTCACAATGCATTAAAATTGCAATTAGTGCTAACACCTCTTGTTTCTATTGTAGTCAAATCCACTTTTGGAGGCATTTGGCAATGCAAGAACTGTTAGAAATGGTAATTAAAGATATTGTATATGGCTTTTTATATCAAAAATTCTTTATGCTATCGAGGGAATGCAACCCGTTTATGTTGTTTCATAAAGTAAAAAGCTATTAAGGTTCACTGTTTAAGCTTATTTGACACTTTTTCAATTACAAGCTATTTTCTTAATCAAAATTTGCTGCGTTTCCTCCGTTTTATATGTGCTGCATCATCTGGTTTTTTTGTGAACATTTTACTTATTTGTGTGAAACTTGCAGAATTGTGTCTTCATCTTGCATCCGAAAGACTTTTGACTGTGATTAATATTTCCATTTTTATGTTAAAATTGATAAACGATAGTTGTGGAGATTATGGATGGGAGACTTTGGAAATTACCGTGTACGAATATTTTACCAAACACCTTGGCATAGAACATAAACATTCAGTTGCTTGGCATATCTTAGCTATGTCGTGTATTGAAGTTGAACTTGATGTGTAATTCCTTTTCATTATGTGTCAATGACAGCTGGAACTTCAATACTTACATGACTATGCTGGAATAAGCTCCAGTATTGGATTGACAGCTAACCCTATTGTGAACTTTTCGGGTGTTCTGGGAAATAATACTTGCTGTGGGGACTGATGTGTCATTTGACACCAAGGAAGGAGCTCTTACTAAATGCAACTTCGGAGCAAGCTTCACAAATGCTGATCTTGTTGCTTCATTGGCTCTGTGAGTGTTTTTAATATATATTGCACATGTTGTGTTATTTTTTATGTGAATGGAAAAGGCAATCCCAATTTGTATTTCGAAATGATTATTATTTTGCTGTTTTCTTTAAGATCCTACTCGTAACCAACATTGCTCTGTTTAGATATTTTTTACAATTAAAATTAAGATGTAAATTAGTTAAAATTCTAGCTATGTTTGACGAATGCATGTCTACAAATTTAGCTTTATTGAGCAACATGTTTTGTCTATGTCAAGTATGAAAAAAATTGGAATAAGAATAATATAAAAGGAAATCCAATGACAAAGATAATCTGCATGAAACTAAAAGCATATAACTGGATTAGAAAATAAGACATTATGATATTGAGCTCAACAATTACGGTTATTCTTGTTGAATTATTAATAGTAAGTCTACAAGTGAGAAGTGAGAAATCTCTCAATAACAGCTACGGAATCTGCCTCTTTAGCCTGTGGAATTCAAAATAGACTAATTCGGATCATGTCTCGAAGACTGAAAGACAATTCAATGGCATTTATAGGGATCATCATGATGGAAGCCATATATCTTATCAATTTTCAATAAGAATGATTTGTGCTATGATTTTTTACTCTATTTACAGGAGGAAGTGGATGCCATTTTTGTGAACACTATTCTCACTGGTATTCAATAGCGAAATTGGGAGGCAAATTTGCTATGTTCGTTGCTTTTCGTAAATAATTTCAAGATCTTATACCTTCTTTGCTATAAACTTTCCTGAATGTCAATAATTTGAAGATCTTATATCTTCTTTGCTTTTCGTAAATAGTTTGAGCTTAGCAAGAATGTATAACAAGGCTTCCGTTGATACATGTAGAGAAACTGTTGCGCCTACTTCTTTAAGAGTTGCTCCGAACAATTTGTATCCTGAAAGCAATTTCTTCCAAGAGGTAAATTTCACTACTGCTACTTTCATTAAGAAACAAGATTATTCCTTTCCCAAAAGATAATTAATCAGATATCATTGTATGATAATATTATAACAACCTTCAGGTCATGTGAAAGATGCTTCTAAAGTGCTGAGTGTTGTGTTCGATTGTCTGCATTAATCATTGACTCCTGCACCTTCTGTGTGTAATACTGAATCAGTAGATAGCAACTGTATGGACTCTTCAGATTGCACAAATGAATCTTGTATTGCACACTCTCTTCTCGGAATGGACATAGTAGAAAGAATAAATTGTTACGACTATGGTTTTGAGTCCAAATATTTCAAGTACACGTCTTATTTTCACAATATTATTGCCAATACTCTTAGAACAATGAATGTACATAAATTCAGACATACATTTATGCTATTCCTCTATATCCTCAGCCCATTCGAGGGGGAGAGGGAGATAATGCTTACAGTTATGATAATGCTTACTCTGCTGGTGGGAGTAAAATAAAAAATTTACATGAATTTATGTTTTCCAAAATGGTTAATTGATGAAATGCCGTTTGTTAAAATTTTCATCCGTACCTCATAGGTTATGTGCTAAGAAACCTTCTTCGATGAGCTTTTAAACTTTGTTGAGATGAATCACCAGTTAGCTTGTGATCTAGAGGATGGTGGCTGTGCCAAGGTAAACTATATGGTATAAATAGATATGCAGAAGTTCTTGGCATGGTGTTATAGTAATAGTTATTTGTGCTTTAAGAACCTTTGTTATACTATATTACCTAAAAGGAAGGCTAAAAGAGTTTTCTACTGTTATATTTTTCACATACTTATAAATTCATGGATGAAATGGGTTATCTTTTATTCATTCTATATGTTAGGTATCAAGGAATCTGATACTGGTTTAGCTGCACCTAGCCAGTGGGATCTTGTATTCGATAAACAAATAATGCAGGAGGAGCAGCCTCTTCAGGTACTGTTCTTAGAAATGACTGAATTTAGGCTCTTTATCTTTTTATCTTATATATCTCTTGTGGGCTATAACTAGGATTATGTGACCAGGTTGCAAGATGCGCAAAGATTATTAGCCCAAATACTGAAGATGCCAAGTATGTCATAAATGTTAAGCAAATAGCCAAGGTATGATAATTTCTTAATTTATCCTTTAAGCGTGTCGCTCTTTCCTATGGTTTTGTTTACAATATTGAGTTTCTTTACATAGCATAAGAACCAAAGTACAGAAGGGTGATTCTAATAGAATTCCCTCCAGATGACCAGCCTTAGCCAGAGATAACTTTTTATGCTATGATGTATGAATGGGAACGAAGTTCCTTTTTATTTGAACACACACATATCTATCTTGTTTATGAAAGTCTTGTTGATTTTATTTCACATTCATCTTTGCAATTTGTTGTTGGATTGGGTGATAAAGTTTCACCAACTGATATTGAAGAAGGAATACGAGTTGGGTAGGCGTTTCCTCGGTTTGGTTACACTAAGCATTCCTATGTTATTTTAGGAGCTTAAAACTTCACATTGTTTACTCATTCCTCTCCTATACTCTTATCGTCCATCTATTGTTTGTTCCTTCAAATAACATGATAGAAGGGCTATAAATTGAATTTGCATATGTTGGATTGTGGTAGGTTGTTGAGCTACCCATGCTTCACCCTGAAAAATTTGTGAAGCTTGGGATCAATCCTCTTAAGGACCGTTCTTTGTTATGGTCCTCCCGGTGCCGATAAAACTCTTCTGGCTAGAGATGTGGCTAATCCAACTGATACATGTTTTATTTGTGTTATTGGAAGCGAACTTGTTCAGAAATATGTTGGCGAGGGAGCACGGATGGTTGGTGAACTAATTTAGGTCAAATCTTCCTCATGTCACTACAATTTACGTACTTGTACTTCTTTGATACTTCACATCTGAATTTTTTAGTATGGTGGCAGATGGCACGCTCCAAAAAAGCTTGTGTTGTGTTCTTTGATGAAGTGGATGCCATTGGAGGTGCACAATTTGACGATGGTATGGGTGGAGACAATGAGGTTCAACGCACCATGCTTGAAATTGTGAACCAACTGGATGGCTTTGATGCTTGTGGGAATATTAAAGTTCTAATAGCAACAAACAGATTTAGTTGGACTGTTTCCGTCATCCATTCTTTATTCAATTTTGGCCTTTTTGTTGTGCCTTTTGATCTTATTTTCTTTCATCAACTGCAACTGGTGACAAAACTTGCTGTTGTTCAACGTCGTGTGATCGACATAATATATTTCTATAAATGAAAAAAATTATTTTTCCAATTATTTTGTTAGGTTATGTGATTGACATAAAAATGCACTGTTAGACTTCTTTTTATGTGGTTTTAAATTTTTCGTTTTGCATATAGTCATCACATGCTCTCCGTCGTTGATAGAACACAGCCGACTCAAGTTTGAGAAATGTTTTTATTGCCTGCCTGTATAATTATGTTGTTTTCTTAAATTTCTGCTTTAAAGTCAGGATCTACTTTCACTATTAGTTAACTTATAATTGGTTTTTTAGATGGTCTTTTAATGTTCTCCCTGGATTTAATCTTGATCTTGAGAATTAATATTTGCATTTCTAACTTGGTGTTACGGAAAATTTTACTTGAAAGTCACTTGTTATGATTTGTGTGCTTAAGTACTGGTTATTTATATTATTCAGACCCGATACGCTTGACCCAACTCTATTGCGTCCTGGACGGCTAGATGATAAGGTTGAGTTTGGACTGCCAGATCTCGAAAGTAGAACACAGATATTTAAGATACATACAAGAACTATAAATTGTGAAAAGGACATTCGGTTTGAACTTCTGTCTCGGCTCTACCCAAATTCTACTGGTACAAATTTATCTTGTTCTCCTTGCATTATTATAGAATTATTATTTTAGTTCTGCTTCAAATTTCTGCAATGTGCTTCAGAAAAGTAAATTGCTTGTGCTGTCGATTTGACTGCTGAACATCCAGTAAATTATGCACTTCCTGAAGAATACATAATTACAATTGATCAAAGCATGTATTATGCATAGGCATAGTATGCTATTGCACCTTTGGAATTTGTCGCACTTTTAGTTTGGATCTTAGTTATATTTGCAGCCCTTAGATTATGAGCCTCCTTCTTCACAGACTGTATAGAAGAGGAACCTCATAATCGATGGACTAAAAAGATTACCTTATTCATAGTGCAATCATGAGACGAAAATCTCGTCCCAAATTTGTGTAAAATAACTAACAATCATTCCATGTCACGCCATTAAGTAGCCAACTAAACTGAAACACGTGCATTGCACGTGCGTCCACTAGTTATATTAAAAGAGCCAGTTTTTTTTGCCACGTGTCGAATTCTCGTATCGTCAACCAAAACGACGTCGTTTGTGGGTTTACATGAATAATGTTGTCGGAAATTCGACTACC